GAGTTACTATATACAACTCCAAGTCAAATACAGAGCTAAGAACCCCCATCTACACGTTTGAAATCACTTTGGCATGTTACATCTTATATAAGATTTTAGTGATTAGGTTTTCATATACATTATGCATTTACCTGCAAGTAGCCCAGTTTTGGAAGATGCTTAATGGTGTTCTTTACCGTCACAATTAACAATCATATGTAAGCATTTACTTAATTTACTTTGCAGCATTTAATCTGTTTCTGAGTTCTAATTCATTACGTATAATGATTTCAGCTCCTTTACCTGCTAGACTGTGAACAAATTCTCAGAACATGACTTTGCGACTTGCCCAATCAATGTCCCTGTCTAACTCTGTGTAGATGTCACCCAAAAGGACCCACCGCTCACCGCCTAGGGGAAGAGGTGTGATACCCACCCTTTCTGTCTCCCTCTGTCCGTCTGGAATTCATTAGGGTGGAGGGGCAAAAGAGCAGATCTGAGTAAGGGCCCTTGTTCTAACAAGTCCAGTAATGAGCAAGGTGCTTCGAGGTCACAGGGAAACCAGACATTACAGGCAGGGTCTGTTTTCTCACAGCTTAGTGTGAACTTGTATATGTATATACACACAGTAAGCCCCTTCAGACAGGAGGGCTGACATGCATTCTTCACTCTTCTCTGTCATTCGACATCCTCTATTTTTCCCCCTAAGCCTATTTATTTTGTGTACTTTCCAAAATTTGAATGCTTCAAATATTATCCACGGAAAGGTCATACAAGTTCAAAAAAGCATTACTAAAAGTTAATTGAAAATTATTTGGATAACAATGATAACATAAGAAAGAAAATGATGATAAATGTTTAAGGGATCTTTTTACATTTTCCATACTATACTTCTTTACTGGAAGGCTATGTATGTTCAAAAGTGATATTTAATTTTGGCATACATTTTATAGACTTTCCGGCTTGCATCTTACCTCTCCTTAAAGCTCTGGTGGTGAGACCTCCACACTTGACCTCCCAGTTTCATCTGCCATGATTATTGCAAGGAATTGCCACCCTCACTAGTGAATTATTCATAAAAGCAGAATTCAGTCCAAACAACTGCTTAATGTAATGTGTTTTATATGCCAAAGAATGCAGCCACATTTTGGATTTATACTCTGCGATCAGACATTTGTGTTAAAGAATGCAGTGGTATCACCTCTCTGTTAACAACCTGATAATTGGCAATGAAGGAGCATCAACAGTGATGAGCAGGGGCGGACTGACCATTCGAGCACTCGGGCACCGGCCAAGGGCCCGGAGTCAGTCAGTAGGGGGCCCCATGAGATGCCCCTGGTACCTTTCATAGGCTTTTTTTGGTGTAGTTTGAGTGTGGGCAAGGACACAGGGGCCCCATGATCCCCTATTGCCCGGGGGCCCCATGAGTTGTCAGTCCGCCCCTGGTGATGAGTCAATAAAACTCTCTTTCCAGCACATGTGCATGCAGTAGAGCCTGATTGGCTCCTGGTGATGCCTCTCCCTTTCCCAATCTAAGTGCTGCTGTGCAAGGGATACCAGAAGGTCAATATCAAAACAGTTTCAGGTACTATGTATATATTTAAAATATTAGAATTGAATGATCTGACCCATTAAAACATAACTTCTTCCAACTAGCCATTCAGTGGTGAAAGTTCTTAACAACCAGTTAATAGCTACACATACAATGGCCCCCCTAACTCCATGGTGGTCAGCCCCAGTGCCTCTCTGCTTAGTCTCTTCATGTACAGGAGTCAGTCCAGCTGGCAGTGTAGAGAGTGGCCAAGCAAAGCAAGACAGGGAGCGACAGCCAGGAACTCTCTCAGTTTGGGAGGCTCTGTGCTTGAGAAGAGGGACTCCTCCACATGAAGAGACTGAGCAGAGAGGAGTTGGGGGTGACCTCCATGGAGGTATGGGGGACACTGTATGTGTATCTATCCACTTGTTGTTGAAGACGCTGGCGGGTGCTGGTTCTTTAACAACCAGCTAATTACTGGTTGTTAACGACGCTGGTAGTTGCTGACTCTTTAACAACCAGCTATTTACTGGTTTTTGAGGACATCGGTGGGTGCCAGCTCCTTAACAAACAGCATTGAAAAATTGTTATGTGACCCCATAAGCATACTAAAAAATGCATCCTTGGTGTGGTTTTGGTGCATTTTTGGTGTGTTTCCATTGACTTAAAATAGAAGAGCATTTTTGTTGCACTTTTGAAAAAAAATGCACCAAAGATGCATTATGCAGGCGTTTTCAAAACACAGTGCAAACACAGCGCAGTGATGTTAAAAGTTACTTGGGATTTAAAGGGGAATAATGTTGATGTGCTTTTGTAGTGCTGGAAAGGTGGGATCTAACCTGACAAACCAGTGTGAAAGAGCCCTTAGGGTCTATTCACAAAAGCAGCAGGACTGTTTTTGCATGTTTCCTTTTACACTGCTTGGGCTTTTGCGTTCCAATACTATATGAGCCCTTTGGGCTAAACTTCACATGGTCCTTATTTCCTTTCCTTTCCTTTTTCTTTTTCCACCTCTCAGGTTTTAGCTTACAGAAATATACTATCTATTTACACCTCTGGAAGTCACAGGTAACATTACGACATATCTATTTAAGGCAGTAATGTATTTTTAAATATTTTTTACAGAAATTATTGGTACTTATTTATGGGAATCATTACGGAACTCTATAGCATTGCACTCCTTTACATTTGGTCTGCTCTCCATTTGCCCCTATAGACCTAATGGGTCTACCTGTCACAGCTCTCGGGTCAGATATTCCCCACGAATCTTCAATTTCCAGCACTGCCATGTTTACGTTTGAGCAGTAGGGCTATTTAATGATTATGGGGAGCCTTGTATTTGATTACGCAATATTATTATATGGTTATTAATTTACATTTGCAAACATGCATCCTGCATTTGCTCCTGAGGGAGTGGACTGTGATCCATGAAACGTGTCAAGCTTTTGATGCAGTTTATTGTACAATCATGCATGAATATTGAAAATGGATATGCAATTAAACTTTATAATTATGAACATATTTGTATTGTAATTTCAAGATGGATATATTGTATACAATATGAAACAGCGCAACATGATTTTTTTTTTATTTTATTGTAATATAACATGAATGAATAAATCTGCAAGTTTGCGTATTGATTATACAACTAATATAAGACCATGTGCTTCATTTAAAGTCCCAATATTTATGGATTTTGTATTGGTATGGATTTAGGGATGGAGGCACATGACCAATATATGGTGTTCCAGACCAAAACTTTTTTTTGTACAAGCAGTAGGACTGGTTTGGGCGCTAATTCTAGCACAGTCCCACAAGGCCAAGTAAAATACCTTGTTTCTTACCTGACTGATTCACACTACTGCCTTACGGTGGTGTACAATGAAAAATTTATGGGTGGCCGTATTTTTTTCCAGTGCTGTGCAGTGCAAGGATTTCACCACTTCAAACTTGTGATTGCTGATAGAAGATAATGAAATGTCACTGTGTGATCCGACTGCATTGCACTGCACGCCACTACTGCATTGTAATGCAGAGGCTGTTGTGAATAGACCCTTAGGGGTTGTTTTACTAAAACAGGAGTGTAAAAAATCTGGTGCTGCTCTGCATAGAAACCAGCAGCAGCTTCCAGTTTTTTTGACAAAGCTTAGTTGAACAAGCTGAAGTTAGAGGCTGATTGGCTACCATGCACACCTGCACCACATTTTGCACTCTCCAGTTTTAGTAAATCAACCCCTTACTGACAATTACCTCACTACCTCTGCTGGAAGTCTGTTTAAAGCATTCACTACTTATTCAGTAAAATAACATAAAAATCCCAATCTCGAAATCCCAAGAATACAAATAAAGATTTATTTTTTAATACATATATAACTGGATTTCTTGTCCTGAAAACACCTTTACTGCTTTTTTTCCTATTAAGCCATGTATCTATTTCATGCTTTCAAGACTTTAGCATCTCATTGCAGATTTCCTTTATCTACTGTTTAAACATCTTCCTGCTAACTATTCTCTAAATGACAATCTCATTTGTCTTTTTCCCAGACACTCCAGCTGAACCACTGCCCGTTGGCCTGAAGAATGTCTTGTCCCAAAGAGGCCAGTTCTGTTTAACACTCCCACTCTTGCTTCTCACCCTTTCAATCACGACACTTCGATACTTGAGGTTTGTATAAAGCTTTAATGGTTAAAAGAGCTTTTGTGTACTAGCCAAACCACCAAAGTAAAATATAAAAAAAAGGTATATTTCCAGCTGTCAAATAACATAAACAATTTAGAAATATAGATAATACATATATAGATATATATAAATGTCTATTTGAATTTCAAATACAAAGACCCGCCAGTTAAAATGGCTTTTAAATACAATAAGCTATAGAAAAAATATATATATACGTGCTTTACAGAAAACATTTTACATATATACAAAAAGCAGTGGCTGACATGACAAGTTTGGGCTCGGTTTACCCTGTGGGTTTTATATACCTCATTTGCTGGGAGGTTGCCAGTTATGAAATAGTTGGCTTTAGGCCTTATTTTTACAGAAGAGTTGTGTCTTGTAGACACAGGGGAAAATATGGGGTGTTACTGAGATGTTACACCATTTTATGGTTATTAACTTATATATATGCAGTGCATTTTTTAATAAGTAAGGCAAGGAAGACAGGATCACATGTCAGTGCTCTTTAACGCCATTATATACCTATTCACAGAACAGTTCAGTGGCAGGCGTTTTGAAATTGACAAGGAATTCCCAAGTCACAGTCATTATTGCTCCATTCTTTTTAGTTAGCTTGATGCTCTCTTGGTGATAGAAGTGTATCCTGGTGAACTGCCAGCTATATTAATTAAGCTGTAGTCATGGGCAAGGGACTCTTCTCGCTTCTGCCAGCCCTGGCAGGAATGTGAATGAGCCACTTTGGTCTCTGCGACCTCAGTCTGTGTTGTAGTAAGGGAAGGAACTAGACAGATAAATCTTCTTTATGTCTCACTTGGGGATTTGGTCTACAGTAGAATATTCTGCTTCAGAGACCTTAGAAGAGTCAATTAGCTTGGTAAGCCCAGTCTTAGAAGAGTAGCGGAATATAAAGGCCTTCATGATCTCATAGCGGTAGTTCCTGTGGATGAAACTGTACAAGATTGGATTGATGCAGCAATGCAGGAGTGAGTAACATTGCGTAATGTGAAGTCCAGCATACAGGAAGTTATCAAATGTGCAGGTGAATGGCAGGACCTGGAGGAAGGACAAGACATCCAGCAATACCATAACATGGTATGGCAACCAACAAACCATAAATACGACAACATAAGAAACTATTAGCCTTCCACTAATTCTTCTCTCTTGGTCTCCGGCTGAAGTTAAGGCAGAAGAGGAGGAAGATGACAGAGTCCAAGCCAACATACAGTAGAAGACTGCAATAACTGGAAAAGGAATGACAAATCCCAGCACAATGGAAAGAATTTCCATTCCCAGTAGCCACTCTTTGACAGATTCCTCTGGATACATGGAACGACAGTATGTTTCATTGGTGACTGGGGAAGATACAGTTTTTAAATAGTAGGTGTCTGGAAGGGAGACTACAAAGGCAACAAGCCAGACAAGAACACAAACCATTCGGCGTATTATCTTCCTTCTGCGTTTACCAACAGCTCCACGCATTGACACCGACAAGTAGCGATCAACGCTCATACATGTGAGGAAGAAAATGCTGCTGTAAAGATTAATACTAAAGATCAGGTGAGTTATCTTGCAGGTCATCTCACCCATTGGCCATTGGTTATGTTGTACTAATGACACTACCCAGACTGGTAGAGTTAGAAGGACACAGAGGTCAGCCACAGCCAAATTAAAAATGTAAAGGTGAGTCTCATAGCCAGTGGTCTTGGACTGAATATTGAGCCAAATTACAACAGAATTGGCCAGAAGTCCCATAACAAAGATGAAGATGTAGACAATGGCAAGCGTATATAACAGAGCACTCTTGTTTAAAGTGTTGGGGCATGATAAGGACTCCAGGGTAATGCAGTCTCCAGAAAGGCAGCTGTTGTTTAGATCACTGGAGTTGATGCTCTCCGAATAATCCATAGCGGCGGTGTACTCTGCAGCATTCATTGATGCAAAGAGTCAGTAGGACACAGCCTGCACAAAACAAAGCAAAACATTATAAAAGGAAAAACATACAGATATCATCTAATTTGCTACATTCTAGAAATGAGTTCCAGCTTTCCAACCGATATGACACTACAAGTTCCAGCATGCTTTGACAGTTGAAGGAAGGAATCAGCAGCTACCAAGCTGACGTTTATACAGACATGATTTAGCCTGTCCATCTTTCTGCATAGTTTACTTAATCCCCTAAAGACAGGTCTCTAACATCCTGGCCACAACAGGTCTCTGACAATAGAATTAAATCGCAGTCACTCAACAGCTACAACAGCACTTCAAAAAAGACAAAACAGGGCAATAACAGGAAAGCAATGCACAAACAACATAATGACAATCCAGTAAAAACAAAAAAACACTTATCCCAGTACAAATGGGATGTGTGTGTCGGTGTGCGTGTATGGTAAAATTTGTGCATGAAATGGTTTGTAAAACACATAACTTACAATACCAATCATCTATCATAGCCTGTAGAATATTTAAAAGACTCCAAACCTTTCACAGTAAGAACTAGAAAATATGCCAAGTGTGACTTATTTACTAGAGGCAAACAGATGTTATAGTGGCCATACATAATCAACATGTGTATGCCATCAACCATTAAAAGTAATCAAATCGATCAAACTGCTGAGAAATCAAAGATGGAAACCATACCCTACACTTGATAAGTTTATATCTCCTCAACAGGCTTGTCAGTTGGCCAGTCTGAAAATGTATTGGTCTTTTCTTTTTCTATCATACCCATTTATTATGGTTTTTGTTAATGATCATGGTACCTTTGTTATAATTTGTTATAATGAAATGAACTAAAGTTGCGAATTAAAAATAACAACATTATTTTTATTTGGTCTGTGTAATGGTTTTGCACGAAGCAGCCCTGATCTTCCTCTTTGGGGGTCCCCCTCCTGTGCTACAGGGGCATTCGTGCGGTCACACCAAACTATGGCTCTTTGGGTGTTCAGAAATTACAACTAATAGCATGGCCTTTTACATTGCAGATGCTAAAAATAAATATAGCATTCTAAAAATAAATGTAACATGTATTTTTATATTAATGCTGCTGCTTCTAAAACTGAGACATAAGCATCTTTGGTGTCTTCTATTAAAACGTCCTGCCTTGTAACAGAAGTGGGAGCTCCTGACGCTGCTCTGTGTCTGGATGCCGGAAATAATTTTTCTAAATGGCAATGCTCACCATGAACTACGCATTAAATTGTGAATTAAAAAATCTTAACACCGGCAGACTCAAAAGTAACATCTTTTACCTAATTAGTGACCTGCTGTATGTCAAAGCAATTCTTGGAGGGTGGTGGGAATAAATTCCATTCAAATTGAGGTCAACATGGTAGTAAATAAACATCATTGCATAAATATACAGCACTGGTACTAACGAGATAAGAGTGACTTCATCATGATTTTTTAAAATATTTTCTTATATTAGATTTATGTTGGCCAGGTTTTTTTTCATTGCAGATGATGACTAAAAAAAAAAATAATTTTTACGATTACCACTGGTAAGAAAAGACGGGGATATATGTGTAGGCATGTAAAAACAGACAGATGCCATCTTTTAGAGATGCTTACATACACACAAGAGGCTCTTTGCTGAGATCAAACGGTAAACCAACAATGTGAAAAGCAGTAACCCTCCAGCACCTCCTGTCCACCCCAGGAATTTACAGTTGCCCCTGCCGGTAGATTATGTGCAGCATTTTACAGGAAGCTGTTCTGTATAAAGAGTATATCAGGCACATAAGGAACTGCTCAGGGATATCTCATGTGTGCTATATAATTCCTACCCTCTGGAAACATGAAAGCGGGTTGGCAGGAACTGCACACTATGGGGTTGGTTTACCAAAAGAGTAGAGAAGGCACACTTGGTGAACTGAAACTGCATTTACTTAGAAATACCCAATCATGTTCCAGGGATTTGTCTTAATTGGATGAGTGAAGTGAGTTTGATGCCTAGTAAAGATGATCAGAAAATCTGACAGAAAATACAGCTTTTGAAGCGATCATACAATAATCTGATTGTTAGTACACAACTTTCATCCGAAATTATTAAAAGGGACGAACACAATTTTTTTTGCATACAATTCCAGCTCGTACAATTTTGTTTAATCAGTACAGTATTCGTCCATTCAAAAAAAACAGAACAGTAAGACCACGTATGCTCATAAAAGAAAGAATACATAACAATACATTACATCGCTTCCAAATTTGTCTTCTGTTGTACAAGAATTTTTGTAACTTTAGTAACCTCTTCATTTTCAATATGAGACTAGAATGCTAAATAATACGAACGATCGTTCGTCTTATATTCTCATCGTGTGTACCAGGCTTAGTCCACTTTAACATGCAAGCATTCTCTGCTCCTTTAGTATTTTAGCTCTATATGTTAGTATATATGTAATTTTCTGGAATGTGTGCTAATACAGTGGTGTAGGTTTTTTATTTGTTTGCAGATTAGTATGAAATCTTATTTTAGTTCAGTAAGTGATTATGCCGTTATTGGAGATGGACAGCACCAGGTTTTCAGTGCATTAAAACTGGAAACATGACATGGTTAGTTCACATTTAACAATGTACAGCTGTCTCTGCAGAAGGAGGATTTCCTAAAACTTTGCCAACCAATCACGTTAAATAATACAGAATGATACAGAACGGTATTTTGTTCACTGAACTTCTAAGGAACATCAATGAAAAAGTAAGCCCTACATATGCAGTAGAATTTTTTTTTTTCTAAACATCTACTTCCAAGAGGGGGGGTCACCCAATCAAGAGTCTAAATACTTATCCAGAACTCCATTAAAAATCTATCCTGCATTGTGTCATTAAAGAATGGACATGCAGTACCGGATAGCCAGATTAGGTTCATGAATACAATGCTATGCTTCATACTTTTCATCAATGCTCATTTCGAGTTGGTATTACATGAACACGTAGCTTCTCTTAAATAAGCAACAGGAAATCAGCCTAAAATGACCCAAGATCTGCTTTTCTTTTTACACGTGCCCTTTGATGACTAAATGACCCTTAGACACATGTGCATCAGTTCAGCTCCCTCCCCCTAACAAGAAACACATGTGACAAACAGAGCAAGTGCGATTAAGGAGGAGCCACCATACATGTAATAATTGGGAAATATCTCCCTTGCCCTTATGTGTCAAGAGACGTTCAGTCATCACTTAGCTGGCAATGACAATGACCTGATATACCTTTTCTCAGTGGCAGTGGGCTTGTTTTCTGTTAGCCATCGGTAATCCTGAAGTGTGATCAGCACAAATATCAGATACTCTTATATCCAATAAAATAAGTATATGCTAAAAATCTTTACTGGACTAAAGATTTTTATTAATGATAAAGGCTAATAAGGGTGACCTTAGATAGATGAAAAACAAGTGTTGAGAATTAAGGTCCTTTACTCCAATCACCAGATCCACCACTGTCACCAGATTAGATGATCAACAGCCCAAATCCACTCATAGTTTGTTTATATAGAAAATGGATTTTAAAACATGCTGAAAAATCTCTGCATGCATTAATAAGCACTTTCAAAACCGAAATGTGTTCACTGGCACGCTTTTGCCCTCCAGAGGATTTACCCCCCTTCCTGACCAGGCCATTTTTTGTGTTAAGACGCTGCACTACTTTAACTGACAATTGCGCGGTCATGCAACGCTGCACCCAAAATAAATTTACATCCTTTTTTTCCCCATAAATTGATCTTTCTTTTGTTGGTTTTTGATTGCCTGTGCAGTTTTTATTTTTTGCTATATTTTTATATATTTTTATATATTTTTGACTTTTTGCTATTAAATATGTCCAGTAAAAAAAATTTTAAAAATTAAGTTTTGTCTTAAATTTAGGCAAAATGTATCCTGCTACATGTCTTTGCTAAAGAAAATCCCAATACGTGTAAATTAATTGGTTTACGTGAAAGTTATAGCGTTTACAATTGGCGGGATAGATACTGGAATTCTTTTTTTCCTTTACTAATAATGGCGGCGATTAGCGACTTATAGCGGGACTGTGGCAGGCATTCTGACACTGGGGGGAACTGACTTGGTGTCACTGACATCCCCAGTGACACCAATACAGTGATCAGTACTAAATAAAAGCACTGACACTGTACTAATGCAACTGGGCAGGAAAGGGTTAACATGAGGGGTGATTAAAGGGTTGTGTCATGGGATTTTTTTTCTTCACTGTGTGCTGTGCACAGCCATTCAGAGCAGTGTGCCCAAGCCGACAGGGAGGAGGACTGTTAGTAAACAAAGCAGTCCTCTCTCCCGTCGGAGATGGCTGGGACCCAGTGGTTGACAGCCGCGGCCGCAATGGCGGCGCGGGTACACATGCCCCCTACCCGGAAATGCAAAATCATATATATATATGTATGTGTGTGTGTGTGTGTGATTTTGCGTACCCCTGCAGACCTGTAGCAGTATATCTGCTATAGGGCGGCGGGGAAGCGGTTAACATGGTTTGCTATCTGCAAGAGATGCTTAAAGTGATATTAAAGGCTTATATTCTTTTTCTAAAAATTACAAATATGTCATACTGACCAGATCTGTGTAGTGGTTTTTCACAGAGCAGCCCAGATCCTCCTCTTCTTGGGTCCCTTGCTGGCGCTCCTGGCCCCTCCCTCCTGTCAGGTGCCCCGACAGCAAGCAACTTGCTATGGGGACACCCGCTGCTCCATGTATCCGTTCACACATGGAGCCACAGCTTAGTCCCACCCATTCTCTCTTCTCATTGGCTCACTGGCTGTGATTGACAGCAGAGGGAGCCAACCAGAGAATGCAAAATCTGGTGCAGCTGTGCACAGAAACCAATCAGCTTCCAGTTTTTTTTTGTCTAAGCTTAATTGGACGAGCTGAAGTTAGAAGCTGATTGGCTACCATGCATAGTTGAACCAGATT